GGGGATGGAGGGGTAGTAGGGTGGATGGTAACGGAAACTGAAATTTAAAAAAAGAAAAAACCTTTTTTTGGAGAGGGGGTGGGTGAGTTGGTGAGGGTGGGGAAGGTTGAGAAGGAGCTTTGGAAAATATTTTCCTTCTATTGATAAGGAAAACATTTTCCTCCAATTGGAGAAAAATGAATTGATAATGAAAATATTTTACAGAACATTTAAGCCAACCAAATATGGGAAAATTGAAAAATATTTTCCTTCGTACCAAACACACCTTAATGTGAATCAAACATCCAATCATCTCAGCACAAAATGATTCTTCTAATATCTTTGATTTGATTAATCCATCTTAGGAATATAACTGCATATCTCACTGAAAAACTTGAGACTCCAGAAATGAGGAGTCTTCCTCCCATCAAAACGAGAAGTTTATTGTGTATCTCACATAACTGATATTAGTTATGCGAGCCTCCTTTTTATCACATAAATTTATGAACCCCGATCTTACACTTCTGAGTCCATAAAAATTCGAGTTCACAAAATTGTGAAACAAAAAAAAAAATGTACAAAATAAAATTTTTCCAAAACTACCATGTCCTTTTCTTTGTTTTTTTCTTATCTTAAGAAGCACAAGCAATTATCCAAGTTAGTAATGCAATGCACCACTTTTTTTTTTCCTTCCAATTAATTCGAATTTGTGTCACGTAAGATCTACTAAAAGGAAAAAAACTTGCTACTAAAAGTTTCTTTATTCTCGCTCGAAATGAAGACCTCAACTTTATCCTCTATATTCATTAACTTACAAAACTATTTTTGTCGCATTGCAATAACTGAATTTTAGCCACTAAAATCATAAAGACAAAAAAATAAATTATTACTGTATTTGTTAACTAAAATAATTAGAACTTTAACCACTATAATAGTAAAATTATAAAATTATTTTTGTCACATTTCAATAATTAACTTTACCCACTATAATTTTAATTTCACTATAATAGTTATGGTGAATAAAGTTGAATTACTTTAGTTGAATAAAAATAGGTTTGTAACTATAATGGAGTGGTACTTGCTTCTTATTTTCACTCATCGGTTATAGAGTATGAGTTTGTGCTGAAGATGAGGAGTTTGACAAGTGAATCTGCATATGGTGCTAAACTCATACAACACTTTTTCTTAGTGTGTATGTGCATATATGCTGATAAGATAGTGCAGAATGTGAATTTGATCCTACACCATTATGCATTTTTTAACATCACTTATTCCTACTGTTTGTATATATAATGGTGGCAAAGAATATGAATTTAATCCCAACACTAATTACTTTTGACAAAGACACTTGCTACTTTGTTATTATTCCAAAATACAGTAGGATTCTCCTTCCACTGTAAAAGTCATAAAAGAAATTCAACTTCTCAATCCATTTTGCCTCGGCTTTCAACCATATGAGATTGAATCTCTTTTTACATGCAACACTAAGAATGGTAAAGAAAAATACCACTTGTATTGTCCTAGTTCCATCTTTAAAATCCTTTTGTCCCCATGGACTTTAATCCAAATTTTTACAAAGGTGTTCAAGGTTAATATATATCTATAAAAAATAATTTTTTTATATACTCTGTGTAATTTTTCGATGAAGAACGAATGTCTAGCTTTGATTCGAACACTGTATTTGTTTTAAAAATATTATATTAAATATGTATAAATTATTAATTTAGAACCCAATAACTTAAAACAATTAAAATTCCGAAGTCATAAGCTTGAAATTCTGGCTCCGGCCAGACGGCCCCTGACTTTTCCTGGCCTATGAGAGATTAGATTTGCTAAGTCAAGCTTTGCAGTAAATTTCTGTTACACTACTTCAAAAAAAGGCACCAGAGATTAAAAGGTAAAAATAGAAGGTAAAGGAGCCAAGGGATGGAAACAAAGTGAAGGAAGAAAGAGAACGAAACAAAGTTGTTTATTTCATATTTTTGAAACAATGGATGAAGGGAGATCAAATTATACAATTGAAACAATTAATTAAGATCTCTACCTTTTTCTCTTCAAATTAGTTGAAAGACTCCTCCTCCAACCCACATACTCACATCAGCACAATCACAGAACGTTACATAATCCTCAAGAAGAAGAAGACCCTGAAACTCTAGGAGAAGTGACTGGAAACAAGGGCAAAAGCTGTGGCTCAGAATCTCTAGGCGTTCTCCTTGGCGAAGGATGCATATAAAACTTCTTCTCAGCAATAGCTTTATCCTCTTCAGAAAGATTACTCAATGGAGAAGACTTATTAAATGGGTCTTCAATCAATGGCGTAACTGGGCTTAAAGCAAGAGAAGGGAAATCAAGAATACTGGGGGATAAAATCTCGGGCTTGTTCCGAGGTGAAAAACTAGTTGAATTGTGGGCTGAATGAATCAAAGGGCTAATCATAAGCCCATTTTTTAAACTGTTTCTTCTTTCGTAGAGCTTGAAACCGGGTTTTTTAGGAGCAGTTCTAATAGGAGGAATGGAGCCTTTATTGGAAGATGAAGATGAAGATGAAGATGGATCTGCTTGTTTTGCAGTTTCAGAGGAACCAGTGAGCATTTGAACAACTTGTTTGAAAGAAGAAGTATCAGCTTGTACAAAAGTTGTTGGGTAAGGATTGTTTGTTTCAGATCTAGAGATTGTTTTTGGGGTCAGTGGTGGGGTTGGATTTTGGATTACTGATCCATTGCTGTTGCTGTTTGGACTTGTTCCATTGCTTCTTGGTGAGTTTATTGATAATGGGTTCTCTCTATCTTGAATTCTTGATGTCATTTCCATTGTATCTCAAATGCTCTCTATCTTGTCTTGAATTAAGAAGAAAGTTGGAGTGAAAAACAAGGGTATGGTGAGAGGAATTTGCTTTTGTTTTTGTGTAGTATTTGTGCAAAGTGCATTTGCTTCAAAGTCTTTCTTTTTGTCTTAAAGACTAATTTTCTCACCTCAGCAACAAAAGAGTGAAAGAAAGACTCTTTTTCTCTTTGTTATATTGGGTTTGCTTTTGCTTTATGGTGGGAGGTGGTGGGGGTGAAAAAAAAAAAGGGATGGTTGATTGGGTATAGAGAAAATGCAACCCACAATGGTCAATTTAGATAAGAAAAAGAAAAGAAAAGTAAAGAAAAGGTAGGGGAAGGGGGGTATTGGTGGAGTTTGGAATTTAGGGCGTCAGCGTCAGAAGTGGCCAAAGAGTGGGAATTTCAATTTCAAAGTATTTGAGCTGTACATTGACTTCAGAGCCCTGACCCTGACCCTTTCTCTGGCCCCCTGTTGTACTGTGAACTAAGAGAAACCCTACACACACTACACTCACTGCTGTTTTGATTGGATGTTAACATGTCATCTCTATACATGACATTTTATCAACGTCTTTTAGCTTGTTCGAGATATGTGAATCAAGAAACTTAGGATAAGAGGCACATTTGTCTTAAAATGAGATACAAATTTAAATTAATTGGACGTCCGCTCCTTTCTTTTATTCGATGTAGCTAAACTTTCTTGCTTATGCAACGAGGAGTTTAATGAATATTGAAATCGAGTTTGTAGAAAGTACCAAAAGTCAGCCGCCCAATATTGAATTACTGGCGACTCCGACTAGATCTCGTATACTAGATGGTTATACAAAAGAAATATCTTTATAAACAAACTAATACATTCATAGTCAGTTGGAGACACATTTCTTATTTGAGAGATATTTATTCAAAAAAATATATATTTTTATTTATTTTTCATATATAATTCGATTTCAAAAACTGAGTTTTGTCGAATCCGCAATTGCCACTTTCCAAAAGATCTAAGTGTACGTAAACTTTTATGAAGGAAAGGAGGAAAGGTGCGAGAAACAGCGTCCGTGACTTGGGCACTTTGAGCCCTTGTCTTGTTTTTCTTCCTTCAAATTATTGAGAAGACATTTTCATGATTGACCCTACAAATTTTCTCCTATCACTTCCCTCTCTTCTGTTTTATTTAACTTGTCTTTACTTTTTTTCTTCTTCTTGTATATTTAAATCTTAGATTAATTCTATTTTATAGGATTAAAATCAAAAAAATACTACCTCTATTATGAAGTATTGGTTTTACTTGGTGGGGCTACAAAGCAAGGTCCCCTTTGTTTAAAAATTTCAGGTATTTATAGTTTATAAATGTCTTGTCATACCAAATAGTAGCAAAATATATCGGTCCCAAAATTTCAGCGATCAATATTGCCTAACAAGTTCAGTCAACCACTTAATGTATCGGATATGTTAGAATATGAAAACAAAAACAAAAAACATACATTAAACACAAAGCAATTTCAATAATTGAATGATTAATTTTCTATGTGGAAGTTTATTTATAGCCTGTACACAATACAAAGTCGTAATTAATGAGAGATATTTAGTCAATAGTTAACGATTAATGGGTATTAAAAGTAAGATCCCTTCCAATAAACACTTATTTAAAGTAATGGGAAAGCATTTTTAAGCACTTGAAAAAGGACGATCAAATTCCCATTCAATTGGAATTGAAAATACTAATAATTAAGGGATAGAAACGAGGTGGGCACCAAATAAAATAGCACTAAGTACTGCTATTATTTTCAAGAACGTAACAGACACGTACACCTTTCTTTGAATTCTTCATTCAATTGGAGTATTAATTTGTTGAATAAATGGGTTTTTCAAACCCTTATGACAAAAAAGAAAAAATTGTTAGCTTCTGTAAGTGTTCGAGTAGTAAAGTTAAACGAGCAATAAACGTACTTAGCCTTATTGGTTTAACGCCGATACTGACTAAGTTTGAAATTAATTACTAATTATTTGATCTTAATAATACTTACTTTGGCCGGCTTGACTTAAATTGTTAGACAATATTTTCACAGTAGGTGGGCTGTAATAATTATTATAATTATTATTTGGGTGCTTTATATGTTTGGATTGAATAGTGACAAGATTAAGTGAATCCTACTCTGATAATTGCTGGCCTAGCTACTCCTAGTAGGGTCCGAATTTCCATTGGTTTAATCTCTAAGTCACATGATTTTAACAATTATGATTATTATAATTGGCATCTTAGTAGGTCGGAAATTTAAGGGGCTAAGTCACATGTGAGTTTTAAGAATATGTCCAACTCTTGGAAGCTGTCAAATAAGGAAATGGTTCAACAATCCAAATACTAATTACTATAATATTAATCTACTTTGACTTTTCTTTACTATTGAGCCATTCTTGCTTAGTTGTTTTCTAGAACTAATAAGCCCGAGAAGATTTATTTATTAAATTTCCTAGTAACTTCAAATGTTGCTGTAACTATGATATGATTAACTATATATTCAGCTTCGACTTGACAAGATTTGCAGTTATTTTCACCATAAATTCTATGCAGATAATATAATTTAAAGCAGTGGAAACGACAAAAAATGTAGTAAGGTGTGGAGTCATTACTTGTTTGTTGAGAATATTGTATGAAAAAATGGAATCATATGTCTAATTGATGAGAAGATGGAAAATCGGCTTAGAGATTTTTGATGGACACTTTTGAAAACATTTCATATCTCCTTTTTATTATTTTCAAGCAAGGAGTAGGAAATGTCTAACTGTTTATCAGTAATTAGGATGTCTTGAAATTCAAATTACTAGTAATATTATCATTCGAATAATAACCTTTTAACTGCTAATTTATTCTAGTTGAGCGAACGATAATATGATCTTATGCTTATTTTGATGGACAGAATTATCTGATGCATATATTGATGGAAGCAGATGATATTTGTGGAATTAGTCGAGGTACATGTAAGTTGACCGGAACATAATTATAAAAAATACACTATACTTAATGTAAGTAATCTTCAATTAGTGGAATATGTAGATATCTAAAAAAATGGAGTATTTAAATGCTGAAAAAGCTTTCGTCGAAGTTGTAATTTTGAAAGTGTGGGAAGTCAGGTTAGATCTTTGCTCTTATATAAAATCTAATGGGAATCAATATTTTTTGTCTGGTTTTGGCAACAGGACTGTCTAAAACGCAGAAACTAAAAAACAAAAGTGAGTTTCTTGGTTGGTTTCACAACTGCGTCGCTGCACCAGCTCAGATTATTTTAGAGGGGCAAGTCATTTTCATATGTAGTGAAAATTTTATAAAGTTGTTAATCGGATTAACAAGATTTTAGAACTTTTCATAGCTCTTCTGTATTAAAAAGAAAAAGAAAAAAAAAGAAGATAAAAAATTAAAGACAGATATGAACCTCAAAAGATTTATGATACCTCAAAAGATTGTGTAAACGGTACATTGAAAGGCTTATCGCGTCTCTTACGTAGTGAAGTATTATTGTTGTTGGTTCTGTCGTCCAGTCTGATTTCTTAAAAATAGTGTTTGTTCATAATTTCTTTTTCTTTTTTTTTGGCTAGAAGTAGGTAAAATAATAAATCAAAACTAAGGAAATTCTTTTTTGAACTATGTCATAAAGATACATTTTCCTCTACACCAATCACAAGTTTTTCTCAAATTTTCTTTTATATCATCGTAAAACCCTTAGTTATAGGTTTTGAGAATGTATGGATCAAAATCTGACCACACGTAGATCAACGCTAAAAGGAATGGTAAGGGCTCGATTAAGCCGTGGTCATACCCACAAGGCGTAATAACGACGAGTATCTCGGCCACTGCCGAGATCGAGCCATCAGAAAACTTGTACAACAAAGTAAATGTCGTGATACTTAAGGGAAGCGACGTGAAGTACAATCAAGGGATGAAGGCATTCTGGCTAAGGACCGTTGGACAAAAGAGAATACTGATAATATATATAGGAGGTAAGAAGACAAGAAAAATGGGGGCTTCCTCTCCTAGAGAGAGAAGAGGTGAAGAAAACTAAGAAAATGTTCAGATAGTGAATACAAATCTCTATAATCGTGATTATTGAATCAACAAAGATAGATCTCGTTACTGTCGATGGCATTCTATCTTTTCATCTATATCATTACATCACGGGATAACATGTCAAGAATGTAAGCCTATCATCTATATTCGTTATCTACTATGATCCCAGAAAGTTTATAGGCTTGATTATATCTTATTCTCTTATTCAATGTGCTTAGATCTAGAGTTAATTATCTTTGGCTAAGATTTATCCTCTATTCTTTTCATTAATTAGTTTAGCAAAAAGCTTAACACTTTTTGGTCAAACAATTTGGCGCCGTCTGTGGGAATTTCCTAGCCAAATTTTTAGTTCCCTCTGGATCTAAGAGCCAGAGTTCCGCTTCCCGGTAGCCATAGCCCCACCCTCTGTGTAAACACCAACTTGAGAAAGTTGTAGGTAAGCTTTTGAAATGACCAAACCAATCGGGGTCAGATCTTTGCACGAAATCGAAATTATGTCTGATGTCTATGCAAAACTCACGCCTCATCTATAGCGATGGGTTAGGCACGTCATATGCATGTTCAAAGTAGGATCACAGTCACTACGCACTTAGAATGACCGCAATCCTATTTGACGTATTTACTTTATATACCGACCTTTACTCTCACCTCTTAGGAAGGGACGATCTCCTACTATGTGATTCTTTGAAATAACGGGCATATCCTGCCTTATTTTAGTACCCGCACGCACTACGTGATTATGAACAACTATGACATGTTTCCCTTATTGTTTGCTCATATCGGACGGGATCGGATTGGGACTCGGTCTAAATATCCCAACGGAAAAAGTAAGTTCAGCCCACGAGAAGACTAGGCGCGACTAACGATGAAACCAAACACGACTGCCAAATCTGAAATCGCCATTCGAGCACGGGGCGAAGCAAGTAACCCTACAATGCCTTTCCCCTTCATCGACTTACCAGGACAAGGTAACATGCAATTTCGTTTGGGTTTAACTTATCATACTCTCTTTTTGGTTCAGAACAGGAACACGAGCATTCTCCAGTTACGTGAACAAGGAACGAACGCCACCAAACACACTAGGAAAACGTTCTGTACCGTCCCATCTCGCAAGCAATGACCGAGCAAAGCCCTCTGTGCCGTACCGTATTACAAATAACAGAAAAGGCTCAGAACATGCCGAC